CTTCCTTTTCCTTACAGATGGTTTATTTTGTCCAGTGCACCGTGAAATAAACAGTTTATTAATACAAGCTCGGGGTGAAATTTCTAAAAATGTATCTAAAAATTATAATTATTTATTCACAGATTTCTCCAAAGAAAAAACCCTTCCTTGTTATTTCTCTTTAGAAAGAAAGACATTTCTGAAAATTTGAAAAATCACACATTCTTAATGACTCTCCTTTGTTGATGAAAGATTTAATGTCACGTCGACGGTAATATTTTGTTTTTTCCTCATAGCAAAATAATTTACTGATGTAAGCATCATACAAACTTTCTCGATTTTAAGCCCCAATTTAATTGAAGAAGGGAGGACATATTGCTTTGCAGCTGTCTGTCGGTCCACAAAGTTTCCGTTCATTTTCTTTACAGGGATTGCACATTCTGGAAGAAATTCGGCAAACAGATTTATAAGAATATCTAAATCTAGTTCTGTTTAGAATAGGATCAAGCAAATTTTAAGAGATAAATGCCCCTTGGAATTCTGATTATTTGCGGTTTCCGTTCATTTGGAATACAAATTTATCGTGAGAATACCTAGGTCATAATACATTTTGGTTACGATCGAGAAATTTTGACAGAATAATATGTACCGGTATGTCCATTGAACATGAAACAAATTTTAATTTTTTTTCAGTGTCTGTTCACTTTCTTCGCATTCATGTCCATCGGGAAGGGTATAAGTGTTCACACCCATCTTCTGTTTTTTTCTCCTAGCAATCGTGTTACACTTGATAATTGCCATGATGATGCGGAACATATATGAAGATATGATTGAATCATGTCGTATTTCTTTTCTTTTCTTTTAAATACTTTTTTTTTCCTTTGAGCATTCCTTTGTCTATTTAAAAAGCATACATAATAAACCCTACTGGAAGTGAAGAAAAAGTGAAGAAAAAAGGTACGTATTGAGGCTTTGAAAAGTTGTACGTGTTTCAATATTAGTTTTCTAAAAGAGGTTGCGGTTTATCTCAATCAAACAATACTGTTTAGTTTTGTATCAAACCGTTGCACTATGTAATGAGGGGAATGATTAATTCAGATAACGCAATAATTGTTTCTGTTTGTTTCTTGCTTTCTTGAATTCAAAACATCATTGTCGCTTATTAACTAAAACGTTTGCTCTGTGTTCGGAACGTTCTGGATTCAGGTGCCGGATGAAATTGACCAAAGTGGAAAAAAAATCAATTATACCTTTGCCATGAATACTAAAAAGTGAAAGTGCAAGTCCTGCTGATGAAACTTTAAATTCAGAAGCCTTGCCGTTTGTCCGATAAAGATCCAAATGGCACCGAGTGCCGAGTTAATGTCTAAATTTAAAGCCCTTGGCCGTTAACTGTGACGTCTCTAAATTAATGAAAAATTTTCGATTGAGACTTTAAACAACATACAATTAATCTAGTGCATTCATTTAAAGTATATAAAATGCTTGAAATTTACTGATATTGACAATCAATTCTCACAAACATTTATATCTGTTTTATGTCTTTTCTTAAACACATGAAGCATATTCCAACTCTCTTCTTTATAAATAAATATAAGTAGGCTGTTCTTTAATTAGTGATACATGTAGGTCAGTCCTGCTGCCTGTCTGATATCAACTGTCAAGAATGCATTATGTCGCCCTTTGGTGCACTCTTACTTTTTCATACATACAGAGCTTCTTGGTAACAAATGCAGATTGAACTGTTTTTCTAAAATCGAAGGTCAAGGGAAATCCTAATTGAGTGTTTTTTTGAAGAATGTAAGACATTCTGTTTTATTCACTACGTCCTACAACCCAATTAATGTTATTTTTCGATATGTTTACCACTTTAAATCCCCAGACCCATTGCGTAAAACTAAATTATTCATGCGACATTGCAGAAACATTACGAACTATTGAACTTCAAAAAGCAATCTCATAGTAAATTAAATCTTTAAAACATTACGATAAAAATATTTAAAACATACCATAGCCACTGATGAAAGTAAGCTGTCTCAGCAAAAATAAATTGATTATGACCATTCCAGGCAGGTGAGTCATTCTCGTTACTTCATATACATGGACTAATGATGATTTCAGCTGATGTTTAGCAGATAAAATAAATTGGAGATGCTTGATACCGATTAAAAATGGAACAGGGTAGGAAAGTCTCGTCACGTGATTCCAAAGATTTAAAGCGAAAAACTTACTTCCGAGAAGTTGCCTCTAATTCATATCAAAAGTTTCTTCTTCGAAAGCAAGCAAATATTATCGCGAGAGCTTGGTTGTTACTGTTTGTGTGCAAGGGTCAAAGAATGAGAGACAAACTTTACAAAGTGCAGTACAAAAATATAATTTTTTTTATTCTGTTTTAAGAATAATCCAGGACATCTGCATCAACGCCTAGGAAATTGTTAAAAAATTGTGTAGTGTTGAAGAATTAAAGATATGGATATATCAAACAGTATTCAAGCTACATGTAAGAAAAACACCACAGTGGCTTACTGAAATGGGAAGAGAACATACGAATGATATATTTAGAAAGATAAAATCGATTACAAAGTTTAGATATCATCCTAAAATTTGAGTTAAACTCATTTTAAAAAGAATGGCAAATCAATGCATAAATATATTTTAGAATTAGACCCATTTAGAGTGCAGCATATTATGTAGAAGCTTTCTGCTACCTGAACTAATATTGAAAGCAACAGTTCATATATTTATTTTAATTTTTGCCTCATTCCATCTTTACATTTAAAAATGAAATATTGAAAAACGAGACGTACATGTTACTAAAGACATCATATGTAGGCACAGCCGTTAAACCTGCAGGAAGTAACATGTACATGTAGGATAACGTTCGGGAAGAAAATTTTCTCTTGATGATTATATTTTGTTTGAGATCTTAACACAAAATATACGGAGGCCGGTAGGTTTTAGGTAGAACAAGTATTTTATCTGTTGACTGCCACATAAATAAGTATCTGCAGATTAAAGATATATTGTGGTAGTCTGAATACTTCTCTAGCGGTCGCCATATAATTTCAAGCTGCTGCCAGATAATTACCTAACCGTCGCCAGACTGGTTATTTACAGTTTATGTTGCAATCGCCAGATATTTTTTTCTTTCTAGTACTTACCGGCTTCCGTAAAAATCAAATGTAGTATGAATTTATATTTCAAGAGTTTTAAAAGATGCTTCTTTTTTTGGTTAGTTATATTAATGGTGATAATTCATTCCCTTTTCCAAAGTTATAAAAAGAGACACATTTGAAAGATAAAATGTTTTATTATTTTATTTATAAACATAAACAAAAACCATTGAACAAAAAGAAAAAGACAAATATATACACAAAGTACACTCTTTCTTGTAATAATCAAAATATGATGTCGCTTCTGTGATTCTTTTATCAAAAGATCTAGTAAAAATAAAAGCAATTCATCAGATTGATGCAAAACATAAAAAAACCACCTTAACAGTTGGATTAGAGTACAAAAAAGCAACAAAAAAAAAACATTTGCATACATGTACATGTATCACACAAAATAGACAAAGACAAAGACAAAACCAGAAAAATCACTTTTGTTAAAATCGGAATAATAAAATGAATCAGCTTCATGAAATACAATAAATATGTGTCATGTTTTAGAATACACTGGCAAAGCAATGTAATAGAAAAAAAGAATTGAATATATCTCTTAATTGCGTAGACCTATTAGACCATATATAAGTTAAGGTTAGACCGGATGCCATGGACATACGTCAGGCTACGTGTGCGGGAGAATGCTAGGGAGTTCGACGACAACTTGCCCGTAGAATAATTCGCCCTATTCGTATTAGAATATGCCATCCATTGGCATATCTCGCTTTTTGAATCGGCAAATCGTATTTATTTACTCATAGGTGCATCCGAATTTCTCTATAATACACAAACTGAACATTGATTCCATGGCACAAGCATTTTAAAAAGTAGGAAGAATTTGCAGACTATAGATAACATAACAACTTGAATTAAAAACGTCATTCACCGAATAGTTCTGAGTTTTAAAAGATAAAACAAGTTTTCACCTGCATGAGTTTTGTGCGCTAGGGATTGCAAAATAATTTGATATTCAGTAATCCAAATACAGCTTGATACAGGTCTGTGGCAACGATTGTCCATGTGAAGGAGGGGGGGGGGCTCCGGAAAAAGAAATCTGCGTAATACAGGTACCATCAGATCTATTTTTCAAATGATAGATTCCTTCCGTAGTAATCCAGACAGATGTCAAACCCCAGTCATTATCGGTTACATGAACCAAAATAGCCCGATTTTTTAATACAAAAGTATAGCCCAATCAGAGATGAAATTTTACAATTTTACTATGAAAGTACTATCAGTCAGGCAGATCATTGTAGAAAATGTGAACGAACATACATGAATATTCACTAATCCTCGAATTTTTCTTTAATTTAATTTAATTTTGTTTAGAACCACATGCATATGGTCCAGTATTATAGTCCCTTTTTAAGGACGGCAACTTGTTGAATCTTTTACTGAAATGCGAAAACGCAATCATACTTAGACGTTCAGTTTCCTCATAGTATTCAATCTTTGCTAGAAGCAAACCTCAGAACAGAGGTAGGTTCAGGTGCCATTAAGAACTAACATGTGGTTTCTCTGGACGACCGATCACGCCATTTTATAAAATATCGGATAAAAAGAAAATTGCCAACATAATTTTCTTTTAAAATTGTTTGCATATTACATTGTAAATGAATAATTAAAGATGAATATTTTAAAGGGAAAACTTTATATCTCTACACAATTTTAATATGTATTTTCAGGAAACGAGCAATAGCTATATTGTAACTAATTATAATATAGGTTCATATGAAGGCTCTTGTTGACATCCATCAAATTTTAAAACCAAGATCTATGAAAGTTAAATATAAATATAATATGATTAAAATTGAGCATTTTACACTGAACAAACATATTAATCAGTGTAGTTGTTCTGCTGACAAATTTTTGACAAGGGAGGAAGCTTCTAAGATTGGTAAAGATGCAGAAGTTGGTGTAGAATGACTGTCAATCTAGTAATCATACACGTTTCCAGCTGAAAAAAAGTAGAATGAATTATTAAAGAAAAGTTGCATTGTAACTTAATTTTTATAAGTTGCTTCTTTTTTGCTTTCTGTAATAAATTCTATTCGCTCTGTGTTTACGTCGGCTTGCAATTTTGTTATAATACTATTACTTTAAGCAACCTTTCATATTTCGTATGAAATTTCATTTATTTTGTTTTCAAGCAGGCAACAAACCTCATATTTAATTTGCCACACATGAAGCATGAAATTTATTACATGATAAACATTTAATGTATTAGTGCCATTAGTAATTTTTTTCAGCGGTTATTTATTAAATGATAAACAATTTATGTATTAGTGCAATTAGTAAACTTTTTTTTCAAATTATTGAGTAAGGGCAACATACATGAACGTGTGTAAGACACGGTTGGGTACGTTGGTCTGACAGCGATAATGTGGTGATTCGACTTCTTGCAGAGTTTAACACAACTGACCAAGATGCACACGAGGAAGAGAAACCCCACAACACCTCCAATCGCACCTCCAGCTGCCGCTCCTGATGACGAATAACCGCTGTAAATAGAATTTTAAGTGTTTTTAACACCCTTCCCCGCAGTCACGCATTTAACGCATATACCATTTCCTATTTCTAACGCAAAATTACGCATTTACCGTTTCCCCGCAATCACGCATTTTCACGCACTTGAAAAAGTTCATTTAATCTTCAATTTATTGCCAAATTCCAACTATTTTATACTTGCTTGAATCTCATAAAATAAGAAAAGTTATTTTCTAATTAAAATATTATTTCAGAATATTATTTACGCTAAACTTTAGAGAAATTTGTACCCCGTTATAAAGTGCTTGCGGGGAAATGGTAAAGTAATATTTCTATGACGAGAGGATTCAATGTGTGTTGCATAGTAATGCTGTAAGTTGTAAAGAGTTAATTTAAACATTGTCACAAATATTTTTTTTTAAAATACTGAATCTTTCTTGCTGTATTATGAATAATTGCATGGCGGATTAAAGGTACAATTGAAAATTAAAAAAATGATTTATGAACTATTACGGATTATTATACAATTTGTCTTATGTGTGTCAGTGATAATACTGAAATATTTAAATTGATTTTCTTTTTTTTAATATAATGAAGTCAATTCTTGATGATTTTTAATTTTTTTTTTAGATCAAAGGTACCTTAATATGCATTCGGAATGTTTCTGCATTTAGAAAAATATCTTTATTAGAAATGCGTTTCAGTTTAAATATTTAAACTATCTATACATTTATAGTTCTTGATAAATTTTCACTCATATGAAAACAACAGGACTTGCCGATGGACAGATGCAAATTTTGCCTTTCTCGAAATGTGGCAGCCATGTTTCTTGTTATAGAATTATTATACATACATATACACGAAGATTAACATTAACGTTGTCCTAACATATTTTCTTTGTTCTTTTTCAATATTGATCAATACAATTATTTACGCATAAAGCAGTGAAAACCCCCACCTCACCCCCCAAAAAAGAGAAAGATAAAGGGGTTTTAAGTTAAAAATTATAAATATTTACTAAATATCAATACAGAGGGAGTTTTAAAATTTAAAACAATTTGTCAAATGTCAAAGTCATTTAATTACAAGTTCTGCACGTTCTACTTTCTGGAAGACGTTAGCTTTCGGGAAGTCCCCTCCAAACAATTATAAATGTAACCTCCACTAAAATTCGGGAAATTCTTTCTACACTTTACAAATAATTGGTAATGGGGAAAATACAAGTAACGTGTATAGAAAAAAAATAAGACTAAACAAGGGTTTATTTTTAAAACAAAAAAAGAAAAAAAAAAATACATAAATTTATGTTAAACAATAGTGCCTAAAAAATTATACAGGTATATACCGATATCGGGTTTCTTCAAGGCAAATGGATTTGAAACACAAGAGTCAGAGATCTTGATTCCAGTTCCTATGAGCTAAACTGTAGATAATTATCCAAAGCCTTATATTTTATGCCTCATTTTGAAAATTTACTCTGAAGATTGGGTTAGCTTTGGTAGCGTGATTTTTAAAACACCTGTTTCCCTATTTCATCTCTTTTTTGTGTACGAGGGACATTCAATAAATAATGTCATCAGCTTGATGACACACAACATAAAAATTATATGCCATTAACTTTCTCTAAATTTTAAATTTCTAATGAGTTGATAACAGTTAACATGTACGTGACGGCTCTTCATCACATACTTCCATTGTGAGAAGCTGGAAAACATGGGCTACTCGAGACACTGCATTTAAATTGAATAGTCAAGAATCAGTATAGTGAAATTTAACGCTTCATTAAAACTGCTGTAAAACTTGTAAAAAATCCCAAAGATATATTAATTAAAATGTTTAATTTACAGCAACCAATGCCTGTTTTATACACACATGAGCAGGTGGATTTCAATAAACAAAATAATTTAATGCGCATCAAAAATGGGTACCGCCCTTGGCTACAAGGACATACAAGAACCAATATATATTTTCGAAATTTCAACAAATTATCACTGAGTATGTTTGACTGACTTTAAGACACATAGCAAATTTGATAAACATCATTATGGGGGTAGTTCTTACTTTTTAAGGAAACATTTGATAGTAAAAAAGTTTATGCTCAAACGTCACCCAATATTTTGAAAAATGAGTGAAAACGACAGCGTGTAGGAAAATCTAAACACTTAATTTAAAAAAAAAATAAATAAAAAAAAATGTACTCATCCATGTTTGTCTGAAATTCAAACAGATAATGAAACTTGAATCAATTTTGTTTTAAACCCTCAAAACAAATTTACAATGAAATACACTTGACAAACCAGAAAATGGCTAAAAAGAGCAAAGAATTGGAAGAGCACAAAACAGTTTTATATGCTATTTTCTTAAATATTAGTCGTCTTGTTTTTAACTTCTTATTGGGGAAGTAATTTCAATTTCTGGAAGAGTCTAAAAAGCAAAATGTTTGCAAAAAAGTAAAAGGTTTATGAGAGGAAAGAGCCAGAATTAGGAATTCACTACATTAAATTTCTTCATGTCAGCGTCCAAACCCAGACTATGAAGAGTAAAGGAGTTCTGGGGTCAAAAAGAAATTTAATGTTTTGTCACACCAACAATACTGGGCAGCACTTTCAACGTTTGACTTGTTTCATTTCCCAAACTTGTAAAAAAAAACCTTTCAGAAAGAAAAAGCAAGTACAGGAAACCATGGGATCTGCCATATTCCAGAATACGAAGGGTCATACTCAAAAATGTGTTCAAAAACAATTATGAATTGAATAAAAATGTTGCGGGCATGTGTTTTCATTCAAAGAGAATATTTTATTTTAATCACTAGGACTAAATCATAGAAAAGCGTGTTTTTGTTTCTTTCCGAGCACCTATGACATTATTTAGTGAACGTCCCTCGTATAGTTCAAATCAGGATTGCAATCAAAACACCAGATGTATTCAGATTTCCATATAGAGTATAAAATATAGATTAAAAATGTTCGCAATTTAAAAAGTAAATACAGATTTAATAATTACACCCATAACGCGGGTTTGTTAAGGCAGCACATGGATCAGAATTCGGCGAATTAAACTTTTTTAAATACTAGGTAACACTAATAAATCGGAAAAACCATGGATAAAACTTTTGCTATCATCATGCATTCTATAGACTTCAATGGGACTGTACTACAGGAAGCAATTCACCACGACGTCACCACGTCACGTCTATAATTAGAAAAAATGCCTTAATGAAAAAGTGAAAAGTTCAACACAACCCCGGGGATAATTAATTTCAATTTGTAAAAATAGTTATGTAAAAGTATCTCTGTGCCATGAAAAGTGCTGCTAGAATCCTACTGTCCTATCACAGAAATAATTATTCAACACTTTCGGACAAAACCTTCCCAAAATTTTTACATTTTGTTCATAAAATCGGAAAAAATTGCATTAATTCCCGTAAACCATACGATTCTAGCAGCACTTTCCAAAATCATTAGAATAAAAATTTTAGATAGAAACAAAAATGAAGTTTCAAAGTGTGCGGCGTAGTGTTGAACTTTTGCATCTTTTTTGTTACGAACGACAGAGGAAAGGCTGATCGGCAAGTAAACCCCCTGCCAGCTTTAATTTTACGAATAAATTGTAGAAATATATTAGCATACCTTATTCATAAGCTTTATTCCCACATGAATCACACATGATATTCATTCTAAATGCTTTTAAACTCCGATTTCTTGTGATTGCATGAATTCTCGTTACGTTTTTACTTTCACTCTGCAACTGCATGATCTACAGTTATGACGTCACGGGTTTGGTATTTAACCTCTGTGACAAATACAGAGACCCAGAAACGACAAAATTCCGTTTATATTATGCCTCTCCATATTTTGATTAATTTTTACGACCTCAAATCAATCTAAGATATCAATTTTAAGAAATTGCAATTGTTATCTCTACACTTCACGTCATATAGCTTACCATGACGTCATATTATATAGACAAGTGGAATATTTTGTTGTAACCTTAACATACCTGCGAAATTGATTCTGAATAAAAAATATTAATAGTTTAAACGTTTTGTCGAATAGATTTAAATCAAATGAATTTACATGTTAATAAAAGAAAGAATTCTTACGTCGCACGCGACTCGCAGTGTCTCTGTTCTTGTGTCGCGAAACAAGGAATTGACACCTTTGGCGCGAGTGCGAATCCCGCTGTGGGACTTGGAAAATGGTCGTTCGATGAGACCGTATAAACTGGGGTCCCGTGTTGCAGTAGATGCTGACACGAAAATTGGGCTCTACCTGCTCAATGGCCTTGAGGTCCGAGGGTCAAAATTTTCAGCTCTCTCCCAGCAATTGCTGGCGCCTCCATTTTAATGAAAAATTATCGAAGGGCATCAAATAACAAATAATCAAATTTAATCTGAAATTCAATTTATGAATTTGAGAAAAGTCATTTTACAGGGGTTTTTTAAACCGGTAATAGCGGTATGTTTTTCTAATTTTTTAAAAGATGTTTATTTTGGATTCTATTTAACAATTGTTGTTCCTAATGAAAGAAATAAAACAAACTCTAATTATAAATAAAATAGACCAATGAATGAATGTTCCTTGTACAGTATTAATCTAAGAACTCTCTCTACACTGCACACTAACGAGTTCTGATTCTAAGGTATTTTTCTGCACTTAAAGTGATCTGCCCCTAGATCTAAATTCTAAAAGATGGTAATTTACAACATATTACTCAATTTGTAATTAATGCAAGTATTTTTAACATTTTAAAAGGCCAAGATAAATTAGCTGAACGTGTTTTTGCATGTTTTTTCTTTATTGAAATTTAACAGTGATTTCTTTTCACTGATACTGTGTTGTCTTTAAACATTTTTCCCGGGAGTAAATGCCACGCAACCTGCAGTGAATATTAGATAAATAAGCTTAACATTAACTCCTTTATACGATATATTTTTCTCAATGTCCAAAAAAAAATTGGACTTGTGTAGAGAGGGTCCTTAAACAATAAAATGCTTTCTTTGTTTGTTATTACTGGAATTAACGGAAGCAGCGACCGTTAATTCCAGTAATAACAAACAAAGAAAGACATTTTATTGTTTATGTTTATATCTCTTTAAATAATCATTTAAAGGAGGATTAAAAAATTAATTATTGTATTAATGATGCGAACGTTTCATTGATGGAACAGCCACTGATCAAGAAATCTGTACAGGCGACATGCCGACTGTAGTTCATGCAGTGATTAACGCAATGGGTTTCCTTAAGAAATAAAGGAGAAAATATTCAGTGGATGTAAATATATTAAAAATAACGCACCTGCTATAGTCGTAGTAGTAGTAATAATAATAGTAGATGCATTTATAGTATATGTATCCGGAATAGGAATTATAATAGTAGTAGCAATATCTCACACTTTGACATTGATCCAAACCTACAAAGAAAAACAAAAACAAGTTTCTGAAGGAAATAATACTTTTTAAGAACAGATGGAAACGAAAAAATTCGTTTCAAATATAAAAAAAAAATATGTAGTTGAATTACTTACAAATTAATAGAATAAATTTCAGAATGGTAAACAACTGATTGCTTCTAAAATTTATGAAGTTACCCATGCTGACTGAAGTGGACGGTGTAAGTTTAGTCTGAAATGTGAGACTTTATACTTTGTCTTATATATTTGTTACATTATGTTCCAGTTCAAATGAACGTAACAACGAGTGTAGAAACAAAAAAGTCTTTCAAAAACTGTTTAAATTACAAGCAAGTTCAAGGTTACATGGATATTGGAAATAACGGGGATTTTTTAAAGGCTGTCTTATGAATATTATTGGTCACGTATTCTGAAGATCAGACACAGATAATCATAGTTAGGTGCAGATGTACCTTTTCTCCAAACAGAGAATAAAGAAGCACAACACATTGAAATCAATATTTGATCAAAAGCAATCGGTTTATGGAACATTGAAAAGAATCAATAAAATGCTTGTTTCCATGAAAAATCAAATTTTCTATCTAATGTATAGTAATAAAATTATCGTTAAAAATTTTCAACTGCATTTAAATTTCATGAATTCATTATTATTCTAATGATTTCTATTGGAAATTAAAAGAATCAATAAAATGCTTATTTCCATGAAAAAATAAACTTTCTATCTAATATGTAGTAATAAAATTTTGTACGAATAAGAACAAAATATTATTGTTAGAAATTTTTAACTGCATCTAAATTTTATGAATTCATTATTATTCAAATGATTTCTATTTTTTTATGGTAATAAATTGACGTTATAATAGTATAAAAATAGCTGTTCAATGTTCCATTAAACGATTGCTTTAAATTTTTGTATATAAACCAAAACCACAAAAAGTCTATTGTTGAACTTTAGTTTGTCTGAAAAAACCCTCTGAAATAATAGATTTTTTCTTAGATCTTTTTTTAAAAAAAAGGAATGTATATAGATTATACATTTAAACATTTTATCCAATCCATATTACATACATATAAAATGTAGAAGTGCATTTGCCAAATCTATGAAATTATTCATTTCTGGTTAGACTTATATTTCTTAATTTGAATTCAATGTTCCATTAAACGATTGCTTTAAATTTTGGTATATAAACCAAAACAACAAAAAGTCTATTGTTGAAGTTAAATTTGTCTGCAAGTACCCTCTGAAATAATAGATTTTCTCTTAGATCTTTTTTTTTTAAATGGAATGTAGATAGATTATACAGGGTGTCCCATAATAAATGATACCATTTTAAATTATTGTCAGAAACGCATGTTTTGACCAATTTCTTTGAAATTTGCATCATTAAATATTTGAGTAAATACAACTTTTAGCAACTAATAATTTCAGTTAAAAAATCTCACAATGTTGGAATAATGAAGCCATATAATTACGTAAAAAATTGCTAAAAATAACATTTCAATCAAAATGGATTTATCAAACAGGCTGGGTACCCTCATTTCAAAACTATAATTATCAATTCCAGTCTTAAAATATTGTTACAAAACCTAAGTCTAAATCATAAATTCATATAAAAGGGTACTTTCCAATGAAAATCTAGTTTATTGCTAAATTATTACTAAAGAAAATCCCATCTTTGTCTTAAGTTATGGAATTTTGTGTAATATCTAGACATGATCATTACCCAGATTGGACATCATTTAGAGGACATAATTTAAAAACCATCATCATTTTTCAAAGTGATCTCATTTTGTCATGTTCTTTTTAATGTCCCTCAAATTGTGTGAATAAAATTGGACGGTATATGCAATGTTTATAGTGCATTTGTTGTAATTCAATATCCATTACATTATATTTTATATAATCATGAGATGGTATCATATATTCTGGAACACCCTGTACATTTAAACATTTTATCCAATCCATATTACATACATATACAATGTAGAAGTGCATTTGCCAAATCTATGAAATTATTCATTTTTGGTTAGACTTACATTTCTTAATTTGAATTCTTTTGAAATATTTTTTTCAAAAGCAAGAAATCTCTCGGTTTTAAAGTAGTTCTAATATTGTATTGTTTTAATAAATTAAGTTATTTTTTATGTAGATTTCGTTGCGTTTTTTCTTTTATCCAGTTTTTTTTTTTCTTTAATCCTTAAAATCTAACATAGAATCTATCGCTGGAAATACTAATAATCTAAAGATATTCTTAAAAAGGTTTACTCGAAAACAAAAAAAACTTTCTTTATGATGAAAGGAATTGAGAGGTTAATGAGTAGTGAAAATGTTAAAAAAAAAAAATGACGACTCTCAACGGGGGTAAATACATGTAGGGTGAGTTCACCATGCATCGGACACATACCTTGCTTCGGACAACTTTAGGCAATAAACTCTTTTTCAACTTAAGAGTTCTGTGTATTTATTTGTTTCTGTCATAAAGACGAAGATTTAATTTTTTTAATGATACCGATTGTGTTTACAGTGGACCCCCATTTATCCGGGCGCTTTGGTTCCCAGTCAATTTGTCCGGATATGTGAAGCATCCGGATATCTGAATCACCAATTAAACAAGACAGAATAACATTTAAAAATTTCGTTCCGATGAAAAATCGTCCGGATACTGAAGCATCCGGATATCTGGCGTCCGGATATCTGAAGGTCCACTGTATCATGTTGTGATGAAAATACCCCGCAAATGGCCTTGAAGTTACGTCATATTTTACATCATCAAAGGGGAATAACCAGAAATTTATGATTTTGCAATTTTTAGAGTTATCGTTCTTTTAAATTCGACTTCCACGGAACGAGTCGGACTTTGGTGAATTTTGTCAGGGATTGGTAATTTTACATAAATTATAAAGAAATTTCACTTCAATGTTTGTTTAATTCTTATCAGAGCTGGTTTTTACTAGTGTGCTATTTTCACCGTACATCGGACACAATTTAACCATGCATCGGACACTTTTCGATGCAAAGGTAAGCACTACCATTTTCATACAGAACCCAGCTGACAGCTGTTTTTTGTGGAAAAAGAAAATAAAAACTCTATATTTTCAGTCAAAATACAAGTTATCGATATATGACGTCTGGAATTTTAGTCAATTTATTTCTACAAACCAGAGTATGATAAACCATGAGAAAAAGGCGCGAATTACCGCATTATAAGCACTTTAAAGCATTTCTAAGGTAGAGTGAGGTCTCGGGAATCGTTCTACAATTGTGCAATAATATCGTCCATTAAAATAAAGTTGAGGGTTATTTCTTAGATAAAAGATGAAAATATATCCATATCAAGGATTTTAAAGCACTGTGATAAAGGTATGATGTTTTCCCGGTCTCCATACCGTCTGTCCGATGCATGGTGAACAACGTCCGATCCATGTTGAATTTTCAGTTTTTAGGTCACCTGAGTAAACTCAGGTGACCTATTGCTATCACTTTTCGTCCGTCGTCGTTCGTCGTTCGTCGTGCGTTAACATTTGAACATTTTTAGCTTCTTCTCTGCAACCACTGAACCAATTTCAACCAAATTTGGCACAAAGCATCTATGGGTGAAGGGGAACAAAAATTGTGAATTTCATGGTCCCTGCCCCCCTGGGGCCTGGGGGTGGGGCAAAAACCACTAAAATTAGTGCAATCTTTAAAAACCTTCTTCTTTACTCCTGGACATCAAGCAGTCAAACTGTTTGCATGATTGTAATCAGCATTGAGTCCTCTACCAAAATTGTGAAATTCATGGCCCCGGGGGCATGGGTTCTAGTGCTAGGGTGGGGCCAAATAAGTATATAGTGAAAATGCATTATTTCTTTGAAAATCTTCTTCTCTGCTACTGGGTATTAAATAAACCTACTAAGTACATAGTTATGATGAGCAAGAGTGCCTCTACCAAAATTGTGAATTTTATGGCCCCAGGGTCAGGGGTTCTGGTGTAAGGGTGGGGCTCTATAGATTATAATAGTGAAATTACATGAATTCTTTGAAAATCTTCTACTCTGCTCCTGGGTATTAAATAAACTAACTAAGTGCATAGTTATGATGAGCAAGAGTGCCTCTACCAAAATTGTGAATTTTATGGCCCCAGGGTCAGGGGTTCTGGTGTAAGGGGGGGTCTATAGATTATATAGTGAAAATACATAAATTCTTTGAAAATCTTCTTCTCTGCTCCTAGGAATGAAATAAACTAATTACATAGTTATGATGAGCAAGAATACCTCTACCAAAATTGTGAATTTTATGGCCCTAGGGTCAGGGGTTCTAGTGATAGGGCGGGGCTATATTGATTATATAGAGAAAATACATTGAATCTTTGAAAGTTTTCTTCTCTGCTCCTTGGTATTAAGCAGATGAACTACCTATATAGTTATGATGAGCAAGGGTACTTATCTTCCAGAATTGTGATTTTCAAGGCCCCAGGGTCAGGGGTACCATAAAGAAGGGGGGTGCTGTACTTATATACTGAAACTGGATGAATTGGACGAAATATGCTCCTTGGTATTAATCAAATATTTTTGAAAAGCAAGGGTGCCTTTTCAAAAATTGTGCAATGTGTGGATCTAGGCCTAAGGGTCAGGGGTTCATGTGTGATTTGGGCATTACTGACCATGCTGAATATTACTGATTACTTGAAATGCATTTTTTGTTCCCCTACCCTGCCTATGGGTATTAAGTAAACAAACTAAGCAGCTGCTAAGTGTATTGTTATGATGATCAATGGGGCCTCTTTCAAAATTGTGAATGCCATAGCATCTGGATTAAAACATGAATCAAATTCAATCACTGGAAAGTTGTTGCATAATGCTCAGGTGACCTATAAGGCCCATGGGCCTCTTGTTTCTACAAACTCGATTTTTGGGGATGTTTTCTCAATAAACGGCATATAATTGTGTCCTAGATTGTTATTTTAATCACAAACTAATTGTTAAACTCCATTTTGATAATTTTCCATCGGTAGCGATATCGCTAGAATTTAACTTGTTGAAGTACAAGGGTATCCGATGCATGGTGAATTCACCCTACATAGTAAAAGCTTACCTTAATGCACCGGCTTACGGTTACTGATGAAATGAGAACATACTTTTTTATAATTAAGTTGTACATGTATGTATTTCAT